CATCATCCAAGAGGAAGATGTCATCCTGGTAGAAGAGGAGGCTGACCAATAACTCAGCATCAATTCCTCCCATACTTTGCCATCGTTCACAACTGACCAATTCAGTGACAGGGAATCAACCAGTAGGCCGAAGATTTCTGCCGACTCTGGAGCACCTTGTTTAATTCCATTATTAGGGACCACGCGGATTTCGCCTCCCCCAGGAACAAACCCCCTGAGCTCATGCGAGTGCAGCTGCGACAGAAGATAGCGAAGTTCAGCCCGAAGTTCAGTCTCCTGTAGACGAGAACAGAGTAGCTGTGCAACTTTCCGACGATCGACCCTATCAAATGCACCTGCCACGTCCAATTTACACAGTAAGCAAGGTGTGCGCCACTCCAAGACCATGTCTCGAACTCTGGAGACACTGCCGATCAGGTCAGCAGCCTGTCGACCTCGTCCACAAGCAGAGATACGAGAACCACGGCGAAGCTGAGGGAGTGCCCGGCTGCAGGCCAGTCGATTGACCAGCTTGTTGAATGCAGAGCTCACAGAAATCGGTCGTAGGTCGCTTGCTTTGGAAGGACATGGGCATTTGGCGAGTAAGGCCAAGAAGCTAACTCTCCAGCTGCAGGGGGACTCCAGAGAGACAACGATGTGGTTTATCAGGTCGACCAATTGGGGTCCCAGCGTATCATGGCTTGCCATTTCACGTAGCAGATGAACCGAGATGCCGTCAGGCCCGACCGCGCTTCTGCAGCGCATCTGCTGTAGTTCCGTGCGAACTTCCAGGATGGAGAAGGGCAAAAAGGAGCCATCCTGGGAAGGAAGACACGAGATTATTGTCTGCAACTCTGCATCCCAGCCTTCCTTGTCAGGGCAAACCATTTTGTTTTCAAGATGTGCTTTGACCTCTGCAGTGAGAACAGAGGACGGCTTCTCATGTAGCATTTCTCCCCACCACCCCCGACGACGTCGCTTTTCATTTTGGAGGGTCCTGAATTCATCCCAACCTCCAAGAAGAATTCGTTGAAGGCGCTCCCTCTCCCACTGTTTGCGAGCATATTTGCGAAGACGGTGGACTCTTTTCCAAGTACGCTTGCAATTCTCCTTCTTTGCATCCCCGATGAGGTCCTTGATCTCATCACTGTCGCGATATGCCCTGCTCTGCCGCGGCCGGGTGTACTTTCTCGCGATCTGCTGTATGTCCTCCTCATCGACCACGATGGTATCGGGGAGTTCGGAATGGACCCAGCGCGCACGAGAGTCATTTCGCCACTTGCGGTCGCGAGGTTTGCCAACTTGAAAGATCTCCGTCATGACATAGGCATGGTCAGTGTTGATCACATGTCGTCGATCAGGGACGATAACAACGTGTGTGCAGGCAATTCTCCTCGAAATCATCATATCAATTTGTCTTCCCTGTCTTTGTACATCACGAGGATAGTGGGTGGCTTGTGTTCGTTGGTGAGGCAGCGGTGGTAGGGCACGGCAGCCGATTTTGTTCACCTCATCCAGGACAATGTTCAGATTTTCAGAGCAGTGCCCAATCGTGAGAGCTTCGTCAACTTCATCCCATTTCGGCACCTCATTGGCGTCGATTCCCGCGATGAGCGGGTACTGTCTCCACTTTGCCGGCAGTTTCGCAAAGAATTCAGACGCCACACGCTGGTATTCAGCATTTGTGACGCCTGTGAGAGCATGAAGACTGCCGCAAACAACTCTTCCCAGGCCATGGAGACGGGCAAGCACCCAAATGCCGCGCGAGCATGCAACTTTGTGAACAATGCAATCAAGCTTATCGAGTGCTATGCCGACTCCAGTAGCTCTCCATTGGTCTTGGCTGCGGAAGGTCACCCAGTGGAAGTGCTCCGTGTCGATCGTGTCCCATCCCGACTTTCCTCTCGCAATCTCCTGTACAAGGGCGATGTCAGTGTCGGATGCTGCTAAGTCCGTTTCTCGAAGGCATTGACCTGCAAGATTCCATTGTGATGCCCTGCCCCATCTGTGTTTTGCACACCGAGGGGTAGCGGTGAGGCAGGCAGGATCTCCTTGAGAGAAAGCCGCCCCCTTGGAATCTGAATTCTCCTGAGTGAAACAATTCTCCTCCGGTCGTCACAGCTCACGTTCAAAGGCGAGTTTCGCCTCCGAACAGGTACATCCCGTCACTTTGGAAACAGCTTCAAGGTCGACCCATCCTCCAGGCATCAAGATCTGGTCAACGTCTCTCGGCGCACGATGTGTGGCGCTCGCGAGTTTGTAGGGCCCACTCCAAATAGTTCCCAGTGACCAGTCGCAGTCATATGCGGTGAACTGGGTGTTGAGGACGTGTTTAACACCACCCTCAGGGGTCTTCGAACTGAGAGCAAGGTCACAGCAAACACGACGTACCATGGAGACCAAAGCACCTTTGGCCCTCGCTGCACGGGTTTTCACGAAGCTCGCCCAGATGCACTTCACCTCTCCGAACTCGCGTGTGCTCTGCAGTTCGAACTTCGTGTTTCCCAAGAACTTAATGACCTCCCACATCCTGTTTTTGACGTCAGCCAAGTTCTCATTCTCCCGCTGGGTGAACTTCAACATACCCACCGACCTTCTGGGGCCGTAAATCGCAAGCTTCTCAACATCCAACAGCGATTTGATCCCGTCAGTGGCGAACATGACTGAGCTCTCCGCCTCAATGATGGAACGCTTTGTGTCGCGGGCCCAACCACCGATAACGAGGGTCCGTTTTTCCTCTTCCGAGAGCACATCCCCTGCTTGACCAGCAGAAGCCTCAGGAGCATTCTGAACACCTCGCCCCAGTGGTACTGAATTTGCATGTAGCGGAGTATCTTTGCCATCACGTCGGCGCGAATATTCAGCCCAGGGATCAGAAGGTTCAGCTCTCGAGCCGTCACCAAGCATCTGTTTCTGCGGACGTTCGGCAACAGCACCTTGAAGCTCCCCAATGTGGACTTTCATCTTCTTGACGTCCTCGGCAAGCTCCTCCATATTCTTGGTCACGGCGTCCTGCTTGCGGCCCATGGCGAGGTTATCCTTCTCCACAATGCTTGTTCTCGTCCGAAGGTTGATCATTTCATGGCTCTGTTGCAACTGTTCCGACTCGACCTTATCAAGTCGCCCCTGGAAAGATCTCCACGCCTCCTTCATCTCTTTCACGTGGCCAAACAGGAGCTCGCGGATCTCATTGCCACTAAGTGGAGCTTCGCCATGCTGGGCTCGTTTAGAAGGGCTCTCCTCATCATCGTCAGAGTCGTCCACACTGTCTTCGTCACCATTGCCAACCTGACCATCACCTCCAGGGACACGTTGAAGAACTCCAGCATGACGCGCATCTCGCCCTCCTCGACCACGACGACCGCGTCCACCTTTAGCAGAAGCCATTTCGCGTTTTCTCTTCTCCAACTTGACCTCCGTCTCCATCGCAATCGGCACCCCACCTTCGTCTTCGCTGGAATCGGCCAGTTCGGTTGGGGAACCTCCAACAGCGGTGGCAGCCTGACCATCTCGACCCTCAACTTGCATGTCCTCCACATCCGCGAGGCCCTCCGCCATCAGGTCACCGAAGAACAATTGCAGACAGGGAAAAACACCAACGAAGTCGTCCGCAAAGAGGAGGAAGAAGAAGAAGGAGATCTCCCAGTCACACCGCTAGCAGCCAGGCAGGCGCCAGAGAAGCCGACCAGGAAGAGGGCACCCAGGCTGGTGCTGGTGAAGTCACCCAAGGAGAAGGCAGAGTGGCCGCCAGACAACCAGGTCCGTGAGTATGCCACAACACCACGAAGGGGTAACGGAGCTCGATGTACTGGCCGCCACAACTCAATCAGGACGATGGCAAGTCCTGGAACAGAGAGGGACCTGGAGGAAGAACTCAAAACCTTCTCGGGCCAACAGCTTGAGCCGTAGCCAGGGCTTTGGGTTTAGGGTTTAGGGTCTGGGGTTTTGGGGGTTTGCCTTTGGGCTTAGGGTTTGAGGATGATTTGGGCTTTAGGGTTTATGTTCGCTTTGCGGCATATGCACCTTTAAGTTGGCAATCCCTCTTGGATCGCTGAAAAATATCAATCTTGTAATGAACTGCCTACATGGCAGAAGGGTTTAGGGCTTTTTAAGCAGGGTTTAGGGTTTACGGCTGTGTCCGTGCTTTTATCTCTTTCTGGCCGTTCTTGTAGTCTTGTAACCTCGACGTGGGTAGGGCCCTTCGCATATAATATTACATGACCTCCTAGCTTGTCCTTTTCAGCGGAGCGATGTCGCGAGGTTCGCGGCCGAGAAAAGGAAGAGCTGAAGACTTTGGGCCTTTCCGCTTAAGCCAGCCTCATATAGTAGAAGCCAGAAAGTTGGAACATTCTTATCCTCATGGCCCTAAGGTAAAGTAGAGGGAATCCTAGTACTAACCATCCTTAACCCATGTTCCAACTTTCCGGGGCTCCCTTAAACAAGGAAGCCCAAAGCAAAGGGGGCAAAGGAGGGCCCGGCTGAGGGTGCAGTCCCATGCTGCAGGTTTGGGGCCCTCCTTCTCAGGATCGGATTCTTGGAGCCCCAATCAAATGGGAGTTGCCGAAAATAGGGGACCCTAATCGTTCCCTTAAAGGGGCTACTATCAGGGTACCAGAAGGGTTCCTTTAACGGGCTCTATGAGGGTTCAAATGGGAGCTTCCGAAAATAGGGACCCTAATATAGTACCCCAATCAGCAGGATCCTTATTATATAAGGACCCCAAAGTCACGCACCCGTAATTTTCGGAAACTCCCACATAGTCTAATCCCAAATCACCATTACTTCTCTCCGAAATCCGAAACTCGCAAGAAATCCCTTCTCCCCAAACCCTAAGCCCCGAAGGGAGGAACTGTGGCCCGACCTTTGACCCCATGTCAAACAAACCTTTGTCGTGTAGGGGTTTAGGGTTTAGGGTTTAGGGTTTAGGGATCCTAAACACTCAAACCCTGAACACAAAACCCTAAGCTCTGAACCCTAAACCCTTAAAACTTAGGAAGACGACTGTTTTAGACTCTTGCCGCCTTGAGGAAGGTCTTGTGCCATCCTCTATCCGCATGGTCTCTAGTGAAGTTCCACACGTCCTGAGCTTCAGAGGCGTACACGGTTTAGGGTTTGGTGTTTAGGAACCTTAAACCCTCAAATTAAGTTGGGTAATATACCGACATACACAAGAAAACCCATAAGTCATCTATGGTTAAATATTTGAACTGCATTCGGTAGCTAAGCGGTGCAGAGCTCTAAAAGCCCACATTGACCTGATGTAGTCTTACCTGGCTTGCAGGCCTTACTTTACACGGATTTGACCTTGGGTTCGGAGTTTGGAGTTCGGCATATTCTCCAGGCTTCATGCCGAGTTAAGGGTTTAGGGGTTTAAGGGTTTAGGGTTTAGCCCTAAACTCTAAACAGGTATGATGTTTGGGTTTCGGGCTTCGGGCTTTCGGATTTCGGGTCGTGGGTTGTGGGTCTGCTCTGTGGAGAGGAAACTCCAATGGCTTTAGAGGTTAAGGGTTAAGCGCTTTGGGTTTAGAAATTTCGGGTTTCGGTGGTAGGATTTAGAGTTTTAGGGTTTAGTGCTTAGGGTTTAGAGTTTTAGGCTTTCGGGCTTTTTTGTTTAGGGGACGGCCAGCTGCGAAAGTATCAAGGGCTTAGGGCTAAACATGCGGGGCTTATTGATTCAAAGGGGGAAAAGAGGGATCCTTAATGGGGATCCTCTACCCTATAATGGGCTATATTATGGGTATGTAATAGCTATATTAAGGGTATATATCTAGGGGTCCTTATTAAGGGTGCCTCCGTTTACCCTTGGATTGATAAGAACCGGGCTGGTTCTGCAGATTGGGTAGCATGCTACGCTAGGCACTATAAGGGGATGACATAAATCCTGCATTACCTTAAGGACCCTAAACGATGGGAACTATGTTATATTCCTTGTTATGGGTAATGCAGGATTCATATCTTCAACAGTATAATAGTATAAGGGGACACTCTTATTACTTATGCAGACCTCTACATTAGGGAGCGCCACCCCAAAAGGATGACCAGGCTCACAAAGTTTTGGCCAGGTGTTTCCTGTGACCGCTTGGACGTGCGGCAATTCACGACGTGCGATATGGCTGACGGCTGACACTTGCGGCGGGGGAAGCCCTCCCTTCGAAGGCTTCTCCTAAGACATACCTTAATCCCCAAAGCCCTGCATTTAAAAGGACAGATAGAAGAAATTCATAAAAAAGGAACCCTAAAAGGTAAGTGCTTTCGGGTACTACTGGGCATCCTAGATTCTGGTTGCCTGCACCCAGACTCTGCCATCCGAGGCTTACCTATACTCTCCATTGTAGTTCCTTTTTTTGGTTTAGCCAATATTATATTAAGGATCCTAAAAGATAACCCCCCTAAACCCTAAACCCTAACCCCAAAAAGGAACTACAATGGAGACTAAAGTGACTAAAGGTAGGATTAAGGAAGGGACTCCGACAACCCACAAGTTGACCGGTTTGTAGATGCCGAAGCCCGGGTCTCTCCTCGGTGTCCCGATTTTCAGGGTGTTGCGTGCAGTCTTACCGGTATTTGCGAGCCCTAAGCCCTAAACCCTAAACCGTCCGCCCTGCTTATGCTCAGGTGAAACTCAGGCTAGACCCAAGAGTAACCTGGGAATAAAAAGGGCGCCCTTTTTGGTTTAAAGGGGCTTATACGGGAACCTGAACCCTACAAAAAGGGAATAAGGGCCTACTCCAGGTCCTAGCAGGGGGTTACATTAGAGTTCAGGCTTTCGAGCGTAGACCTCAGTGTCGCGCGGGTTTTGGATTCAGGGTTCGGGCTTCCGTTTCGGGTGTAAGGACAACCGACCATTAAAGGGGATCTATAAGGGTACGTTTAAGGGGCTCCTTTAAGGGATCTATAGGGTTTTAGGGTTTAGGGTTTGGGGGTATAAATCCTGCATGACCCATAATAAGGAATATACCATAATTCCCATAGTTTACGGTCCTTAAAGTCATGCAGGATTTATATCATCAACCGAAGGACAACCGACCCCCTGAACCCTAAACTCCGGAGCCAGGGCGCAACTTGCGTGGTCGACTTCCGGTAATCCTTCCAATTCACCTGACCCCAAGACTCCAATATCCCCTTAATTAAGGAATATTCCTTAAATTATGGTAGGATCCCTTATATGATTTAAGGTATATTCCTTAATTAAGGGATATTGGAGTCTCTGGGGAGCTTGCGTCTTTGGAGCGGGTTTGGGGTCTGCAGGGCGCTTTGGGGTTAAAGCTTGAGGGACCCGTTGGCCTTAGTAATTAGAACATTGTGTTGGTGTCTCTGTGTGTGTATGTATGTATGTATATGTGTATATATATATACTTTATTTATTTATATATTTGTTCATTTATGTATATGTTTTTCATTTATCATACCCCGGCTCCGCCAGGTATATAGGGCTCTTTGAAAAGTAGAATATGGCACGTTTAAGAATGGACTCTAACGGGGGTCTAAGAGATGTAGAGTAGAGTTCTATACTTTAGGGGGGGCTTTGGGTTATAATCCATTTTTTGCGGTAACGAACCCTGAGGATAGCATTGGCAATCATTTAGGCCCTTGTAAGATCTCCTTAATAAAGGAAGATCATGGCCTTGCAACTATTCAGCTTTTACTTTATCAGGGAACCCAAAACAGAACCCTTACATAGTGTGAAACCCTTTTCAAAGGCCAGCATCAAGCCTTTATATAAACCTTAGAACACCCTAATCAAACCCTTGTGGAACCCCTTACACTGTAACATATCTGCAAAACCTTCCTTTTTACTCTTAAACCCTCTTCGAACCCTATCAGAACCCATAAAAGCACGGAAACTTCCATGAAACCCGCAATATCACCCGACCATAACCCTGTTTTAAATCCCAAAACCACCCGCACCCTGCAAGCCCTGGCTTTCTTAGGGGCATAGGGCTTAGGGTTTAGGGCTTGGGGCTTAGGGTTTAGGTTCTAGGGTATAGAGGCTTCTTGTTCTCCTTAACATAACTTTCGCACTTGAGTCCTTGACAAAATTGGGCTTTCAGGGGCCCAGGTAAGTAAACCTTGGTTTTAGGTATCGGGGGGTGCAGAGTTTAGGGCGTCGATCTTTCGGACAGGGTTTTGAGGTTGTTGATCTGGTTTGGGGTGCAGGCCGAGGCTTTGATATCAGATTTGTTTGCTCCTTTGAGGGTTTAGGGCTTAGGCTTTGCAACCGAATCTTGGGCAGCGGCCACTGCGATCTGGTATTTGACACCTGCATATGGCTGATCCAAAAGCAAGACGAGACGCTGAGGGGTCTCGTTTTGAAGGACTGATCTAGGAAAACACAAAAACGCAAAATCAAGAGTACATTCGTCGATGATGTCGTATATATAGTTCTACTGAAGTTTCTACTTGTTCCAGACCTTTCCCACACAGCCTCAATGGCCGGAGAGGACCTAGATGATCACAGTTTTTAAGGTCTAGAGTTTACGTAGGATGTAGCGTTTAGGAAAACACTACAGTACCATTGCTGCTCCTCCTCCTACTACTTTTACTGCTGCTAATACTACGACGACGACTACTACGACCGCCACTGCTACCACCACCACTACCGCGACTACTACTGCTACTACTACTACTACTACTACTACTACTACTACTACTGCCACCACCAGCACTACCACTATCACGACCACTACCGCTACCACCGAAACTACTGCAACTACCACAATCACACAAAGTCGCAGCTTTGTGCCTTCAAAGGCCCAGCGCACGTCTTCACAGTCGGGCGGCGCCTGTGCCTTTCGTTCTTTAGAGTGTCGGGTTGAAGATCCAATCTGATCTAGGGTTTGGGGCTTATATAGGCTTTAAGATCGCGTAAGGGCTCTAACAAGGAACCATAAGGGCAGCACACCGGTTCTATAAGGATCGTATTCTACACATTCTACACATTATAGAAGGGTGTAGGGTGCCAGGGGTAGGATTCCACCAGGTTCCGAAAAGGGAACTACAAGTCCAGCCTACGAGTCCTAGAAGGGTTGTATATCAGCGTATGTAATGTGCTGTTACAATATGGGAATCCTTTTCATGAGGGTTCCAGTGTCTACGGTCGACACGAATCCCCCCTGATTTTGCGAAGCTCCCAAGTAGTTCTTCTATTGGTCATTCAGCGGCTTTCCAGGATTTATAGTAGACAGGACTTGAAATATTCGAGTGGAGCTCGAAACTATGTCGGTACCTCAACCCCAGCATAAGCGCAAACTCTAAGACTCTAAACCCAAAACTCTGAATCCTGAACTCTAAAGCCAAGCCCGAATCCCAAACCCTAACCTCAACCCTCAACCCGCATTGACCGTGTCTAGGACGCATATTCACTTTTTGAATCCTTATGGTACCCTCACAGAAGTGTAGACCCTGCAAAACTCGACACTAGAAACCATATGCAAAGCTTAACATGGAAAAGCCCTAAAAAAAAGACGATAGAACGTTTAGAGAACCCTATAGAAGCCCCAAAATCCAAATCGAAACTCCAAAGGCACCCTTATAGAACCATAAGAGAACCCTACAGAACCCTCTAACAGCCCCAAAAAAGCTAAATCGCCCCTAAACCCTAAACCCTAACCCCTAAACCATGAACCCTCTAGAACCCCCAAACCCTAAACCCCCTAAACCCTAAACCCTAAACCCTAACCCAAAGCCCTAACCCCCCCCCCCAAACTCGAGGTCGCAACTTCCATGGCCCAGAGCCTCAAAAACCCCTTGAATTAAGGACTATACCTTAAATCATATTAGGGATCCTATTATACTTTAAGGTATATTCCTTAATTAAGGACTATACCTTAAATGATATTAGGGATCCTATTATACTTTCAGGTATATTCCTTCATTGAGGGGTTTTTTGAGGCTCTGGGGGCATCGGCCTCGACGAAGGCGGCGACCTGGTTCGGCGGAGTGGTGGTCTCCGTGCCCATGGGAAAAACCTGGGCGGACTTGCTTAAAGGATCATGGGACCTAGTAGCTTAGAGGGTTCCTTAAAGGGTTCCTTAAAAGGCATCTATAAGGGATCTATGGCTTTGGGGTTTAGGGTTTAGGGCCTTTGGTTTAGGGTTTAGGGATATCATGGATCTAAGCAGAGCTTGATGATATAGGGGCCTTGGGCGGTCGCTATATAGGGACATTGATTCAGAATCGGAACAGGGTTTTGGTGCATACTACACTAGACTAGAGACTACATCTACGATCAGGAACCCAAGGAATAGTAGTACATAAAATCAGGCGTCCATATTATTCCATACGGTTACCATGGTATCATAGACTTCTGCCAGTGTTCTACAGGGGTTCCATCAGGGAGCTTTGATCATTCTCGGAGGACTTAGCGTGCTACAGGATAGGGTTTAGGTGTTTAGGGTTAGGGTTTAGGGTTTCGGAGTTGGGGTTTAGGGTTGAAGCGTTTAGGGTATTGCAATTGGGGTTTGGGGTTGTTCTAAAAGAATACCGGAAGGGGTCTATACAGGTTCTATCAGGGGCACGTTTTATGAGGGTTCTATCAGACTTCTATGGGTTGTACAAGGGGTCAGGAAGGGCCCTGTTCGGGCTCTATATAAGGGCTCGAGAAGGCTTCTATGGGAATTTCTAAAACCAAGTTACAAGTTCGCTAAGGCTAAGGGTTCTAAGGTTCAACATTTGGGGCTATGTCTGGGGGTAGGGCCTGGCGACAAGCAACGCATTTTTCACAAGAGATGTCACCCTCGGATGCGCATGGAAACAGGAAAAATGACTATATCATAAAGCCTTCCGACCTGCTGGGTGTCTTGTAGGCTCCGAGGACGGGGCCAACAACCGGAAGGTGAAGCAGCCGTGCAGCGTCTTCATCTCGGAGGTGACCTCGCCCGGTTTAAGGGTGGTTTTAAAGTTGTGGTGACTCGTTTAGGTTTAAGGTTTCGGGTTTCGGGTTTAGGGTTTAGGGTTTGCGCTTTCAGATCTGGGGTTTAGGGTCCCTTTGAAGGGATCTATAAGGGCTCCTCAAAAATCTATAGTAGGATTTAGGGCTTCTTCAACGGATCCTTTCAAGGGTTGCTACAAGGGTATCATAGGGTTTGGGAGTTAGGATTTCGGGTTTAGGCTTTCAGATTTAAGGCTTATGGTTTAATGAGATAAGGCTCAGTCGGTCGGTGATCATACTTCCTTGCGTTTGGCTTTTAATACAAGGCTTAAGCTTTAGTTGTAGTAGCCCCTTAGATGTTGAAGGAAAGTACGGTTACTAGTTGCGGCCACGGCAATGGGGGTGACACGAACCACATTGTCATAATGGAGACTGTGCAAAAACGAAGCAACCCTAAGCCCCAGCCCAAAACCCGAGACTCTACTAAATCCTAACTCCGTAAGCCCAAACCCTTAACCCTTAACCCTAAACCCTAAACCAAGAGAGAAAGAAGAACGGCAAAGGTAAGCTGAGCAGACGGCACTCTGGCCCACCGAGAATGACTTCGGGTCCTTGATGAGGAACCTTTTCGGTTTAGCGCTTAGGGTTTAGGTGTTTTGGGGTTTGGGGGTTGACGGGCTTCTGGGAGTAGCTATACCTTTAAGATAGAGCTTTGCAAAATCCATGGGCAAAAGGAGGGACCCTTAATCGGGTTCAGGGATTTATGGTTCTGGGTGTAGGGCAAATGCTGGGCCTTGCGACTTGGGATTCAAGAGCACGGTAGCATGATTCTGTCGTGAGCATGAGAGCATCTTGCTACGAATTAGTCAGACCTCCAGAGTATTCGGTGTTTAAGTCTTAAGGGTGAATTCTTTGGGGAGTCCGGGTGTGAGCTCAGAATTTTGGAGTAGGCATGCTTCGAAGTCGGACAAGATTGGGAGCAAGTATACATCCCACTGACTGGTATCCCGACTGGGTCCGAAGCTTTAGACCCCGAAATTCGGGGCGGCAAAATCTCAGCCAGCAGCAGCTTCTTCGCTCATAAACAACCCTACACCCCAAAATCGAGATACCCTGGTAGTCGCACCCTTTCCCCTTTCTCCCCCGGCGGACAAAACCCTCAACCCTACGTGACGGCAATTCTACACCGTATTATATCATTGTATAACAAAGTATAACCATGTTCACACTGATGTGTATGCCATGTGTGTGTAGATATACTCACACAAATACTGAGTCGATAGGCCCAGAGATACTCGAACATAATGTAAGTCCCTAAACTTGACCTAAGGCAGAAACCCGACACCCCAAACCCAGCAACCTAAACCCGAAATCCCAAACCTGCCAAACCTTAAACCTCACGCCAAAACCAGGAACTAGGCTCACAAAGAAAATAAGACAGGAAAGGTCCAGGCTCTATCTCGTGGTCCATCGGAGGAGGTAGGTTCTCCTCCCGCTGAATTTTGAGGCTGTGCGATTTACGGGTCAGTATTTAAGGTTTCGGGTTGAGGTTGGAGGGTTTAGGGTGTTAGGGCTTAGGGTTTGGGGGCTCAAGGTGGGGAGTTGAGGGTTTCGGGTTTGGAGTTTAGAGGAGTTACATGTAAAACTGGTCGTGATCTTGCGGTTTTTCAGTTAGCGTTGAGATGCCTTTAGGGAGTCATGCTGCATGCTTCTGGTCCTGACATTTATGGGACTTGGGTATTTTGTGGTTATGGGCTACACTACTAAGGCTTCTGGGGGCTCAAGGTTTGATACTTGAGGTTGAGACTTCTTGGGGTTTAGGGTTTAGGGCTCCGGGTTTACGCTTCAGGGTTTAGGGTTTAGGGTGAAGGGCTTAAGGGTTTTAGGGCTTCCGCCTACGATTTCTAGTGTTTTCGCGCTGAAGGTTTAGGGCTGAGATTTCTGGTGTTTAGGGTCTTGTGCTTTAGGGTCCCAATCGCTGGGTTTGGGCTTTTGTGGGTCCAGGCTTGGGGCTGTGTGAGACAGGTCTGGTAATTGGAGGGTCGCTGGGCAAAGTAATCCCTACAGCACGAAACCTCGAAAACCCCGAAACCAAGACTTCACGCAAAATCCGAAACACAAAACCCTAAGAGACCCTAAAAGACAGGTTCCGTCCCCATAAACTCAAACTTCAACGCCCGAACACCCTCAAACCCGACAGACAAAGAAGATCCGAAACCGTAAACCTTGAATAGTAGCATCCTTCTTATGCAAACCGCGAATAGCTGTTATTCTGAGTTTTCGCACGACGCCCTAAGCTTTTCATTGGCAAAGCCAGGACATCTGCAGAAGTCCGAGGCGTGGTGGCTCAAACAGCAGATACTTCAAGATTCGCGCCCCATTTCAGGCAGAATCCCAAGGACGACTTTGCCTGAATTCCGACGGCAATCACCACATCTGCGCCCTGCTCCGTCACAATCATGCCGCAAGATTGGCGCCTTCGTCAGGCTGGATTTGCCAAGCGCCGGACTTGGCAGCGACGTCCTTGTCAAGATTTGCCAAACGCCGGACGTGGCAGCGACCTTGCGCAGCTGTTTGCGTGCGCGTTTTGCGACCTTGCGTCTGTAGGAACAGCCGTAGCGGGAGCAGCAGTGGCAGCACTACTCCTAAGTCCTACTCCTACTCCGACTCCTACTACTACTCCTACTCCTGCTCCTATTCCGACTCCTACTCCTACTCCTACTACCACTCCTGCTACTACTACTACTACTACTACTACTACTACTACTACTACTACTGCTGCTACTACTACTACTACTATTATTACTACTATGACGCCTACTACGTGCACCCACCACCGCCGCCACGACCAGCAAGACTAGAGGCGAGGCAGACAGCCCTGCAACTCGCACTCCCCGAAACCACGGCTCCTTGCGGAAGAGGTTCTCGGTGACCTGTCCGTTTCGGGTTTGAGGTTCAGGGCGTAAAGTTTAAGATTTAAGGCTTTGTTTTGAGCACCTTTTTCCGCCTAGCAGTCAAGGTCAGCAGAATCCACATAAGCAGCCCCTCAAGGTTTTAGGTTTAGGGTTTAAGGTCTAATGTAGACCGCTCCATGATTGATAAACCGCCTGTCTTCCAGGGCCTGGGAAGCTGGGATCCCCCTTGTAAGCCCTTCTAAGGGCGAGGGTGTAGGAATCAGGGGTCTACATGGGAGTTTCCGAAAATTAAGGGAACCTTATTTGGGGTTCTTATAGTAAGAATCCTATTATTTTTGGTACTATAGTAGGGTCCCCTATTTTCGGAAACTCCCACCTGTCGGCTTGATGTTGCAAGGGCTTTAGGAGGGTCTCTGTATGGGTTTGGCAGGGATGGTTAAAAGACTCCGGTCGGAAGATTGCGTTAGTGCACAATCGACCAATCACTAATGGATTGATGGCACGACTTATCTACGCAATGGTTTTGGGGTTCCCTTGGCTCTTTAGCTCCTTATTAAGTAGGGATTATCATCACCCCTGGCTCCTTAGCTCCTCCAATATCAATGGTTAGTTATGAACCTGACTTTTTTCCGGGCGGGACGAGAACTCCGGAATCATTCAACCAAACAGGTCCTCGGGCTTAGGGTTTAGGGTTTGGGGTTATTTTGGGTTTGGGGCTTTAGGTTTAGGGCTGAGGGCTATTAGTCCCGAAACCCTGATACCCTCAACATATCAAGCAACCCCTTTGCAACCCTTCAAAGACCCCTCATAGATCCGTTACTAGTCGAATTCTTATAGAAACCGTTGAGAAAAAAACACGTCATTAGAGCTGTTGTACCACGCGCTTTGGGCCGGGATCCTTCAACCCTACCTTCAAATCCAAAACCCTACTTGTTTGTGGATTCTTAAATAAACCCGAATATGGAATTTATAGGGGCCCTACAACAAAGTAGGTTTTGGTAGCTTCAGGTAAACCCAAAATCCCAAAACCCTAAAACCCTAGGCTGTAAGCCCTGATCCCTAAACCCTAGACCCTACACGCTAAATCCCCAGACCCTTTATGGGAGCTTCCGAAACTTGGGGGCACCTGATTTAGGGGTCCTTGTAATAGGGATCCTACTACTTAGGGTACTATATTAGGTCCCCCCGATTCTCGGAAACTCCCTTATAATCCCTAATCCTTAAAACGGACCCTGCCTCTGCCCTGCCATTTGGAGGACCTGAGAACCGGCAAAGGATACTTGGAGGATCATGGGACTTGGTAGCTAAGGTTATAAGTACCCTGTATACTTATCCTCATATACCCTAATAATGACCCGTCAGCGTTCGGGGCTTGCGTGTTACGTGTTACGGATTAGAGCTTAGGTTTAGGGATTTGGTTTTTTGGGTTTTGAGGTTTAGGCATTTAAAACTCCTACTGCCTACGAACTGGGTTTTCTCCGTAATATAGTCATATTCCTGGATCTTAAGGGCTCGCATTGGTAAGTATGTAGTCTTCCCACATCAACGCATGGGGGGTGTCTGAGATTCATATCCGGGTTAAGGCGTTGGGTTTGGGTGTGCCCTGAACCATTGGTTTTTTGTGCAGAGCTTCGGGACTTGGTGATAATTGAGAGTAGGACTGAGGATAACTTGATCCTAAACCCTCACCCCTAATCAAACCTTAGACCTAAACCCTTATAACTTATAACCCCTAAACCCAAACCTCTAGCCTAAACTAGTACTTCGGACCCTTCAGCCGGGCTCCACCTCTCACGCCCAGCCAGTACTGAAACCCTGACCATATGTCCTAAACCAGAAAGACTAACTAACCTCTTAGACCCTAAGCCCTGAATTCATCTCTAAGTCCCTAGTTCTTAGTAGAGAACGGTGGAATGGGTCATAGGGTTTACTCTAGGGTTTAGGGTTTAGGAATGGGTTATAGGGTTTGCTCTGAAAAACTATCAGAGAACAAACCCAAAGCCTCAGCCCCAAACCGGATTCTGGTATGGTCCTCCGCACAGAACCCTAAACTCCACAAACCCTAAACTCCGACACCCCTTTGCAGCAACGCTTAATGGAACCCTTAAAGGAACCCGTGCAGCAACCCATAAAGCCATCCTTGAAGGAACCGTCGGAAGAAACCCTCCAAGCAACCCTTCAACGAGCCCGTTCTTGAACCAGAAAACCTGCCAAGCCCCAAACACTAACATTTAAGGAGCCCCTAAGCGACCCTCAGCAGGAGCCCTTAGAGGAACCCCTTAGCCCTTAGAGGAACCCCTACAGAATCCGAAAAAGAATCCCAGAAAGCCGCGGGTTCCCCGACGCTCCGGACCCGCCACGGAAGAGTCGAAGGAGTTCGGCCGGGAGTCGATGTCGCGACCTTTAGGATTTAGGGTTTCTGGGTTTCAGGGCTTCAGGGTTTCACGGTTTCAGGGTTTCAGGGTTTAGGATTTCAGGGTTTCAGGGTTTCAGGATTTCAGGATTTCAGGGTTTCAGGGTTTCAAGGTTTCAGGGTTTAGGGTTTAGGATTTCAAGGTTTCAGGGTTTTAGGATTTAGGGTTTCAGGGTTTCAGGGTTTTGGTTTCAGGGATTAGGGTTTACGGTTTCAGGGTTGCGTAATCCCTTACAAGGAGGCTTACGGGAGAGGAGGAGTCCTTACGACAAGGAGTGCCATTTTCTGTGAAGGCCATATACGGGGAGCCTACCGGGGGGGGGGGGACAAACTTACAAGACGAGTGCCCCTTGTGGGATTCTTGAAGGGTCCTGTGCTCGCCGCTATAGTAAGGCAATGCTGTGAGAACGGAGGCCAAGTGTCAAAGCCACACATGATCTCAGGCCAGTCTTGCCGCAGGACACTTCAAGATGATGTGATGCACATCCGCATCTTCACAGATCGCACCCAGCACAGCGAGCTTCCGGAAACTCTTTGCGGGGCTCATTTACTCCCAAAGTCTCGACATGCAAACCTCTCCATAGCCTTTACAAAAGTAGCCGGATCCGCCATCTAAGCACATGGGATAGAAGGGCCTAACTTAGACGTAGACCAAACAAAACCAAATCAGGACCAGGCCCAAACAAGGCTCCAATCAGAAGCCCCTCGCTTCAAGAAACTATGACCGGGTCTGGAGATTTGGGGTATATTGTTGTGTGTTTGTTTGTTTGTTTGAGGGGGGGAGGGGGTTTGCGGGGTGGGGGTTTTAGGATGGTCAAGGGTTTGGGGCTTTGAGTTGGGGCCCTACAGTTCAGGGTTGAGCGAAACCCTCGACCCAAAAGCAACAGCAAGCGTCTGTGGCCCCGTGCTGGCGCTCTCCTGATCTGCGGTTTTGGGTTTACGGTTTAGGCTTTAGGGTTTTAGGGTTTATAGGCTTCAGGGTTTAGGGTTTAGGCTTTAGGCTTTAGGGTTTGGGCTGTAGGGTTTAGAGTTTAGGGTTTAGAGTTTAAGGCTTCGGGCTAGGACACCCATATTTCAGGGTTCAGGCTGGGTTTTTTGCGTTTAGGGTTTAGGGTTGCCAGCTTGCCCATATGATGGCCCATGTGCACTTTATTTCTGTCTGAAAACGCAGTCAGTATCGGTATTTGGTGTGTTGAGGGAAAACCCTGCTTGATTTGGTTCAGGGTTTAAGGTTCGGCGCTTTTCTGAGCTCGTTTTAAGCTCTAGGGGGAAGAATAAATGAAATTACCACCAGCACTCCCCCACCCAAAAAGAGGCCCGCCTGGCTGGTTCTTAGTAGGGCATGGGGGGAATGGATCCCAATGATAGCGCCTTAAGGCCGTCCAGTTTGTAGTCCCAACATGTCCCGACAACCCATTCCCCCATTTCCTACTAAGAACCAGACAGCCGCACTGGACTTCGTAACAAGGTGCTTGCTGAATGTTTCGTTCAAGATGCGTAGCTGCAGCTCCCGGGCCCCAAAACCCTTGACCCAACCCCCAAACTCCAATACCCTAAACCCGAAACCCTAAACCCTAAACCCAACCCCAAACTCCAATACCCTGAACCCGAAACCCTAAACCCTAAACCCAACCCCAAACTCTAAGTGTAACACGCAGGATTTTGTTTCGGTTTTCGAAATTCTGCCTGAAGGGCTTAGGAGCTTGATTTAAAGTTTTGCTCAGGGATTTAACGTCTTTCCGTGGGGCTTTTACAAAGTTTGGCGTTTTTGCCTAGGGAAGCCTGTGATGTGAGGATGTCAGATGGCGTCAGGAAACCCAAAACTGACCCTGACAAATTATAGGATTAGCATCATCAACAGCCCACCAACCGAGATGGGGTTTACGGTGTCTGTTTCGGAGACCCCTATAAAACGTGCACCACCCCAGCTAGTAACTAGAAGCCCTAGATAAAGATCATAAACATTCCGAGTCCACGGCTCTTCGGTACTCCCTTCGACATTCTTCCAAACCCCGAGCTGTCGCCTTCAAATCCATAGCTCCCGCCATTGAGTCCAAGTGGTCATCGCAGACTGTCTCAGCGGAGTGAAGGGAGCCATCGAGCTTCATGGGACAGTAGTGCCCTTCGCACATTCTGCCGGTGCGCCCTTTGCGCTGCTCATTCGACTGCCAGGACACCCAAGAATTGGAGGGTGTCTCAAAGCGCAGAGTCATCGTCAATCTCGCGATGATGACCACTCGCACGTGACGGATGGTGATAGAACCCTCACACACCACTGTGCCAGGCAGTATGAACTTGCGCTCTTTGCGCAGGTCAAGAATCTTTGTCTGCTCATCTCTGGGGATGTCCCCTGTCAATGCTGCCGAGTTTGCTCCAAGCGCTCGAGAACTGGCGGCAGCTTTCGCATTCGGGTTCAGGCGTGAAGGTTTAGCATGAGGGTTAGGGTTTACGGTGTAAGGCTTCAAGGTTAAAGTTTTGGGTTATACTCCGACTTCTTCCGCCGTGTTGACACCGCGTGTTGAGTGTTAGAAAATATCCAGGACTCTATTTCAGATGTACTATGATTACAGCTGCTATTTCCTGTGTTTCTGCTACATTCATATTCATAACCCTTAACCCGGATACCAAAGGCCTGCAACCACCAAATTCGACAATGAACTCCTGGCCTATCAAAGCCCCAAAACTTCCCTAGAAGTCTAAACCCTATAAACTTGCATGGGACTCGAAGCCCCCCTAAAGTAGTTCATAGTCGGGATAGGATCAAAAATGTACATTTTTATTCTCTATTGGGTTTGAGTACCCTTAAAAATGCAAAATGTTACCCAACTATGACAAAGTAAACCCTAAAGCCCTACAAACTTCCCTAGAGCTCCAAACCCCCCTGAGAAAAAGGATTGGCCGCGACTCCTCGTCAGCATCGTCCTCCTCCGCATCGTCCCTGCCCTGTTAGGGTTTAGCGTGTAGGGTTTAGGGTTTAGGATTTACTGACAGAGAGCCGGCTTCAGCCCGTTAAGCCTTGGTGGTATTATGGGGTTTTACACGGTTCTTCAACGACTGTATGAGGCATTACGGGTGTCTAACATACGGGCCCTGATTTGGTAGAGTGTCCTTGGGTAGAATATAGCATTATTTTATTGCAGTAGGAACTCTGGGCAGTTTCCGATCCCTATTCTACTCGAAGAGCCCCCAAGTGATTCGTACCATGCTGATTCTGCCTGCTACTGCAGGTTAGCGCAACAAAGGGGTGGTTCTCTAAATTTGGGCCCCTTTCTAGATCCCAACGCAGTGCGGCACCCGGATCAAAAGGACCTTAAAGGGAACCCGGATTTAGAAAACTGCCCAAAGTCAAAGGGCTTGCAGAGGGCAAGGGCGCACGCTGTAACTCTAGGATCGCCACTCTACGGCATAGGCTTTTGGGCGCGGGAGCTAGAATTTTGCGTCTGATGCTGAAGAATTCAGGGTTTAGGGCTGGGAGTTAGAGTCTAATTCTTAGGGCGTGAGGAACAAGTCTGCCCGAAACCACGCAGAGGACCCCAAGCGCAAACTCCGACAGCCCTGAACCCTGAACCCCAATCTGCAATCTAAAATCTCTGAGCCCAAACTCTACCTGCAACCCAACGTACAAGCAAGAGTCCTCTAACCAGATGTGCCTCCCCCCTCCCTCCGTCGCTTCAAGCAGCCCCAGACGATTTGGGGTTGGAAACACGTAGGGTTTAGGTCAAGCAAAATCCTTTCGGGGTCTGGGGTTTAGCCTTGGTGGCTGAACCACAACTCGCAAGCACTCAACACCTGGACTAAATCCCCAAACACCAGGAACCCCCAAAAAATCATAAAGCACCAGAGCCGACGTTCCCCAAAGCACAAGCAGCTCAAGAGAAAAAGACAAGGTAGAATGCTGAGAATATGTAGAATCTCAGTTAAGAAACAATTTCAAACAAAAAAAATCTGTCTCCCTGTCTGTCTATCTATCTATCACTATATCCGTATATTCAACTGCATCAAAGCGCTGCCTCCAAGTCGGCAGACCTGAGGTCGAGCTCGGCTAAGCGCCCTGGACGCTCTGGCTCCTGAAGCTTCTCGGGCTTTCAAAGCTCTGAGGGCTTGGGGTCTAGGGTCCAGGTTTAAGGGTTCAGGTAAGGTTTTCTTGTGTGTGCCATTCCATCGATACGATTGTGATTCGTAAAAAGATCCTAATACGAAGAGGAAGAAAAATGTATGTATATATGTATGCATATACATAAACTTATATGTATACATATACATATATGCAAAGAGAGAGAGAGTGAGTGAGAGTTTAGGGTTAGGAGTTCATGGCTTACTACGAGAGGAGACAAGCATAATCGTGTATTGAGCAAGATAACACTGGGCATCACAGCGACTGCAACTCCACTGAAACTCAAGTGCGTGCGAGAACTTGCAAGCAAGGGCAGGATCTTTAGCTCCTGTAGGTCTACCCCCCCTTCCGATCTAGTTTTTCTCAAGTTGCCCTGGCCACAGACCACAGACTTTTCCATTGGCGTAGCATTCAGCCCGACGTCGTTCCCCTCCACTACAAATCGTAGGGCTCCTTATTAAATAGTCGTAGGAATACCATAATACACCCCTAAACTCCACTGGAATTACTAAGGCCGCCATATTCGAGAAACCGATCGAAAACCGATTGAAAACACCCTTTTCTACTGTACTTGTCTACGCCCCTGCCCCTACATTGTATCATGTTGTCGCTAAAACTGCTCCAATGTTGGTCTTTCAGGCCCTGCGGCAATGTACAGGGTTTGTTATTGTCTAAGGGTTTAGGGATAAGGTTTTAGGGCTTTAGATCCTAAGCCCAAAACCCACCATGAAACTTTCTAGAAGCCCGAACCAGCTATATCGTACCGGTACAAGCCTTTCTGTTCAAGGAAGAAGCCTGCAGCCTGTAAAAAGCTCTTATCAAGCCCCTGAAGATATTCATGCCAGACTTCCGAAACCCGAAAGCCCTAAACGCAAAGACCTGAATCCTAATTAAACCGAAACCGAAAGACCTCAAACCCCTAAACCCCTTGTCAAACTGCTCCCACCATCGTGCTCGTCGCATTGGCTGTCCCCTGATGGGCTGTCTTGCTCGAGATGCGGTTCCTGAGATGGTCGACAGCCTGTCTGGAGATTGCGAATGGCCTGCTCGCTCGGTGGAGGAGCGATCTGCACGCCAGCATCGGCATCCACGAAGGAGCGATCTTGGGGAGCGGCCTCAGTCGGTGGAGGGAAGTGCACAGTGCACGCCGCCATCGGCATCCACATGCATCTCAAAAAAGAAGTTGCCATACTTCTCCCAAACCGCCTCAGCCTCCTTGCAGTGATCCAACTGGACAGGCCACGACAGTTCCCAAACCCTAAACTTAAACCCTAACCCCCAAAACCTAAACCATAAACTAAAGCTACACCATAACCCCCAAACCCTGACCCCCAAACCCGAAAACCCCAAGGCCCTGTTTGCGAAGCCCCGCCTCAGGCCCCAAGCGGGCCCGCTTCGAGGGAGGCGACCTCGCATCACGAGGATAGAGTCGGTCGTGGCTTTACTCATAGGCCCCAGAGTAGTTTCTTTTTGGGATCACCTAATAGGATTCTAAACATGAACCCCAAAAAAGGAACTACTTTCGAGCCTTAGGGTAAAGTCGCTTTGGAGCTTTTCAGGTCTTTTTTTTGGAGCTCCTTTTTTCCCAGAGGCAGCATCCGCAACTTCTAAGAAGGCCCTGGGCTTTTGAAGTCGAGGGTTTAGGGTCTTAGGCTTTAGGTTTTCGGGGTCAGGGTTTGGGGTTTAAGTGCTTAGGGTTTGGGGGTTTAGAGGCTTAGGGTTTAGGCAGGGGCCTAAACAAGTAGAAAAGATATCCTTTAAAGGATTCTTTAACAAGGTTACTTAAAAGGGTTCCTGTAAGGAAGGCATCGGGTTCTGGAGTTTTGGGGCCGGGGTCTTGTGGTACATCATGGCATACCTATACTTAGGAATCCTAAGGGATGTGGTAAGTTGCCATCTATAATAGGGTGCTTGGTGTGCTTCGGAAGCTGTTTCGGGCTTACCTGGGGTTTAGGTCTTTGGGGAGTTTGGGGGGTTTGGTCTTCAAAAAGTTTGTCGGTGCTTTCCGGATGTGATGTTTAGGGTGCTTGTCATCAGGGCGTTTAGGGTTCAAGTTTAGGGACAGGGTTGTTGAGGTTCTAAAAGGTTCCACATTCGTTCTTTGTGGCTAGGGTTTAGAGGTTCGGATTTCAGGGTTGGGGGGGCGTGGGGGTCATCTTCAACGCACGCTCTGCTTCGATTTAGGATCCCAGACCCCCGGGAGGATCCA